AGCTCGACTTATCGCTAGTTGAATAAGGGCAGCCAGGTGGTGGGTTCCTGGGGCAGCAATATGCTCTAACAAGAGACAGGCATCTATTGCCTTTTGAATGATTAGCAACAGTAAATATTACATGTAAATGATCAATTAGCATTTCAAACAATACATGAATAAACTTCTCAGCTGGACAAAAAAAATGTCTATTAATTATCTGTTGTCCAATTAGTTTGTTTATGAAGTTCCGCTGTAAGTTTCTGTCTAGCTTTTTTCATTTTTTTGAAGCCATTCAGACGGGTTCTTACCTACGTACAAGAGACTATGATCTTGTACCTGTGTGGTTAATCTAAGACATATTTCGAGTCGGATACATTAATAATTCTACGCGAACAGTTTTATGTCTCTGGGAGGCGCACAAAACGGATGGAACTTTGGGTCGATTTTTGCCCTCACTGACTACCCTATCAGTCAAAACAAGGGGACAACAAAACCGCATACATTCATTTCCTCATGACACACAAATTTTCAAATAGACTTAACACTCAAAAGCACAAATAAAATGAAAAGAAGATTTTTGTTAACGATTCTTTATGTCTCGTTGAAAATTTGTGTGTCATGAAATGATGAATTAATGCAACCATCAACAGGAAACCTCCTAGACTTATCATCTGAGTGAAAATCTGTCTTATTTGACATGAAGATGTAAACAACTTTTCCATCCAGCGATGATAGAAATAAAGGCTTATGATCTTGCTGTGTGTTTGGCTTTATTCGATTCTTTGAAAATACTTGTAGATCACTTTCTTTCTTTCAATTTCTTTATGAAAACCCGGCCCGGTTCACTTCCGTTTGATCGTGACAAAATTCTGGGCGTGAACACCTGATGACCCGAGGGGGCTTGTGGGTGCAGTAATGGAATGCGTCTGAAGTGCGTGACGGCCTTTGGTGGGAATGGCAGAAATTTGTGAGTTTCCGGCGACGCTTATAAATTCTGTTTTTTATCTGCTCGTGTGATTGCAAAGAAAAGTCGCCACGGGTTGCCGCAGGTGAGTCTTAAAAATCTGATAACACTTCAGACGTTTGTTGGTGATTCAGGTTGCTGTTAAAATACTCAATCAAAAGGATTTTTTATCAACAATATGAATTGTGGTCGACGCGTTTTGCCGTGCCTTCAGGATTTCCAATTCTTTGCGCCATAATCCTATTGCCTTAGCATTCAGCTTTATGTTTCTCACATTAGGTGTTCATAAAACTATTGGTGTTTCGTAAACACGATCTTGATATTTTTGTTCCTCTGCGACGGCACATTGTTGTCAACAGACTCTTCAGCGCGCGTGTTCTCCTGAGTAGACATTTTGTCAACCTGAAACTCAACTTTGAACCTTAATTGCCTTGGAAAAATATTTACAACTGTCAGCCAAACAGTGTGGAATCAGCTTTCCACTGAAGGACCAGCTGCTTGTATACTTGATTTGTAATTGACCGGTGAGGAGTTAATTTATTCACCTAAAACGAACCACAAAAGTCAATTCGTACAGGGAGAGTAATTCATTGATACAAACTGCTGCCGGAGTGAAATTGAAAGCGTGCTGCCCGCGGATACAAGCTTAATCTTGGCATTCGCCTTTTGTGATATTCTCTTCTTAAATTGGTAGCAAAGTAGGTAGGTTTTGCCATTATCTTCGTGAAACAAAGAGTGGCTTGTTGTCAAATTATGCTGACTTTTGTTTGCTGTTGTCGAGGTGAATTTGTTCATTCAGTTGTGAAAGAACGAAAAGTAAAATTTGTGTGGTTAGCTGATCGGAAGTTCGAGCTTACCTTCGGGCGCTAGAGAATTTTTTGTGGTAATTTTCGTCGTTCTTTGTGTCTGGTATAGACTGAGAAATGAATACAGACAGGTCGTGTATAAATTTGGAAGGTAAGTCAGAAGTGCGGACAAACACACATTTTATTACGCACTTCATTGAAGAAGAGTGTGGTTTTCATTGTATGATGTTCTAATGTTTTATTTAGACCTGCATTCTCATCAAGAATGACTACAATGCTTTCTTGCTGGCATGAGCTTTACTTTTTGCATTAATTTAGATTCAGGTATTGGACATAATAATAAACTAGGGCGAAGCAATTAAGCTTCATGTGCCATAAGTCTGTCTTTTGAATGAAACCTTTCGTTCCATAATGGTCAGTTTTCAATTTAATTTTATTTCCTTTGCAGGAAAATGGGTGCTCTCTCAATGCAATTGTGTGTTTTCCTTTGGGGGTTGTTTCTTGGCGTTTGCGGTATGTTTTAAATTCTTATTTTAATGCGGTTGTCTATAGATATTCATAATTACAGACCATCGAAAAAACGGTTCCCTTTTTGTCAAATATGTTTTAAATGACCCCTTAGCCACATTGTTTTTTCGAGCCATTCTGTAGCCTGTGATTTAAGTAGCCAAAATTTGCAAAATGAATGATACATTTATTCGAGCCTGCTGGCATATCTCAATAATTTTTACGCGAAATGCAAATTTATACAAGGCTTTTTTAGAAATCACTGATATTTAAATTATGAAAATATCGTGACAGACAGGTGACGGCCAAGTTGATAATTGTCACATTTTCAAAAAAAGAATTGAAGCAAAGAATCAAAACAAACTACAAATTAGGAAAAAGACTTATTGTTTTGTTTTGATTTGGAGAAATTTGAATTAAAGCTTTCAGAATTGCTCTATGGGGGGTAGGGGGATGTGCAAGTTTTTGATGTTAAGATATTAGGTTGTTTTCACATTGGATATATATATATATATTTTTTTTCGTCAGAAGGAAATAATTAGCACATTTATGGGTTTTGATATAGAACTTGGCAGAAAAAAAAAAAAAACACAGAGGAAGCAGCATACTGTAAATGAACAGAGAATTGCAGAATATAATATATAGAATGCTCTGCAAATTATACATTCTATTAGCTAGGTCAAATCATGTTTAAGCTAATTTAGTGTGCAGGTCATTATGATACCATAATTTTTCAGTTATTAGATAAAGTTTATTTCTTTGATTTGATTTAATTTTTAATTAGCATGCTAATTCTCTGTTGTTCTTTGAAGAAAAAGAAAACAACTTAATATCTTTCCCCTAGGCTTTCTCTGTGTTCGAACATTTCTTTGTTTCTTTTCAGCAATAGATGCACCAAATATTATTGTGCTTTTAAGCTACATTTATTTCAATTACAAAATTATTTGATTGATCACAAGAGATTTGAGATGGGGAATACTGCAGTGATTTTAAGGCGAGCAATTATTTCATTTTGTGTATTTTACTGTTGTTCCAAACAAGATCATTTAACTTGAAAAAAATACTTGAATGACTAATTTATAATATTATTACAAGCAGGTAATTCAATCTCCAAGTATTGCAATCTCCAAGAGAAAGACCAAACTTTGGTCCCTGCGACTAGTCCCACAAATTCAAACCAGTTTGGATTCAGATTTTCAATTTTTGGGACAAGCCGCTGGGACTTGGTCCTCAGAAGGCCTTGTGTGAGCTGTTCCTCGGACAAGTCCCTGCAAACAGTCCCTTCGTGTAAACTGTTCCAGGAGCTAGTTGCAGGGACTAGTCGCAGGGACTAGTCGCAGGGACTGGTCCCCTCATGTGTGCTGGCCTTAATGGTGAGCTCACTGGCCTCTATAATGAGTGGCACAGGGATGTGCCAATCCAATGATATACTGGGGTTAACCTGTTATCACACTGTAACCTGAGTGAATACAAAATATAGCACTAGATTTGAATGACAAAATTTATGAAAATGGTAACTTCATGCTTCTGTTTCCAGACCAAGGACTTCTCCCATCAGTGGGAGGCTATTGGTATTAAAATCTTGCATAATTTATGCAATAGGGGTAAAGAAACAGGGTTAAATATGATGGCAGTATATTTCACTTTGGCTCAAAATACCTTTGATAGAAAATTA